CACATATAAGCATGCACTTAATGTAAAAAAAACGATCTAGAGTCTTGCTTGTATCGAACCAATTTTTGCTGAAAATCCTCACTCCCAAAAGAGGCAGTGACGGCTGATGCGATGTCTACAATTTTTTTTTTTATAGAAAAATTTTGTATAATTTTTTTTTATACGTAGAGGGACATCGTCGTTACCCCCCCTTATATTCTCAAAAGGGACGCTACCCCCCCCCCCCCCCCTGCCAGCCCATCGCAATTCTCGGGCCGCGCGTAGGTGTCCAAAGCGCGGACGGCCTCGGCGCCGTCTCTCGCCGCCACCAGCGAGCCGCCGCTGTTTGCACTGAGCGCGGGGTTTTGTAAACAGGTGCTCAAAATTAGCCGACTAAAAAAAAATACCCAATTATTTTATAAAATATTTACATAAATATAGTGTGATGGTGTTAATTGGCGCGGGCCAATTCCGCGTGCAATCAGCGACGGTACAAAAGCAGTTGTTGTTGGGGTGAGATTGGGGGGATTAGTGAGGGCAACTTCCACTGATACGCGGCCACGGATACCAGGACTCAGGATGCGATTTGTGGAATTGGAGTGAAATGATGAGTTGGGGGGGTATACGGCAGATATTGCCCCCACCCCCCTCGTGAATGTATACACGGTACACCTCTCAACGTCTACGTATATATGTATCAACATAAACGTTGCATATGCGGTGCTGTAGTACAGAGGCCTAGACGCCTGACTGTGTTTGAGATGCACCCCCCGCCGCTCTGCATCGCCGCGTTAAATTCAAGCAACTGCCGCGTCAAAATACGGGGGATACACAAACAACAACGGTCTAACATTCACGTCGATTATTTATAAATATTTTTTGTTTGTTTGACAAATAAAGATTTGCCGAGAAGACCGCTACCCCCCAAAGCACGCCGACGCGACGGCCAGCAACAAGCGGCACTTTGTAAAGTTCTAGTCGATATAAGTGCAAAGTAAAATATCTGAATTGTCCGAGTGCGTGTCAATTATACGACTTTCCATTGTTGTTATTGTTTGTTGTTATTGTTGAAACTTTCAGTGCTCGACTCGGGGGCTATTAATTACGTATACACACTGTTTCTTGTTGTTAAATACATTGTTTAAATGTACGAATTGTACATGTTTTGGTGCGAAATATTTTTTTTATAATAATAATCTGCATGCATTGAGAACGCGAAGGTTCGTGCGTGGATTGTTGTTGTTTTTGTTTTTCGAGTGAGTAAAGTTCGAAGGGAGGACCTTTCATTTTTTGTAAAGCGAACGCACACTTGTAAATTATTATTATTATTATAAATGTATTATTAACCATTATTATTATTAACTGTTATTATAAACTCAGCGACATCGCGGACGCCGTATGTTTGTGGGCTGAATGTTTACTCACATTTCGTCGCGAGTTGCGATGGGGGAGGGGGCTTAAATAATTATACGGTGATTATTAAATATAATACGATATGTGCACGTCTAGTATTTTTCTGGTATACATAAAAAACACATTAGCGTTTTTTAAATAACAATTGTTGCTAATATCTGTACCTACTGTCGTTATATATTTTTCGGCGGCGGGTTATTTTCGCCTTTTGCTTCATGACAACGAAACGGCTGCAGGAGTAACCGTTATGTTGCGGTAAATTGCTGCCAACACCATACGCATACGCACACGCGTATATTTATTATGCACATTGCGGCGTTTCCAATAGAACGCACTCTCATATTAAATGGCATCAGCCCGCGCACGGATTGTGTAGACATCTCCGAATTATCCCACACTTTGCAAGCCAACCGCGCCTGCTCCTTTGACTCCAACGCGGACAAGTCGCTGTTGTTGTGAGTTACCTTTTGGTTATAAATACGAGGGCTGCAATTGAGTATTTGGGAGTAACGGCGAGGGAGGAGGATGGGGGGGGGGGTGACTTTCTAGTATCGAGTTCCCTTTACGTAAGCCGAGTCGTTCGATGTCGACTCGTGGAACCGAGCCACGAGTCCCGACTCAGCCACCGCGAGAGAGACATCGCGTTGCTTGGAGAGAGATTCGCTGTCTCTCGCCTTGCTCGCGCAAACGTCAGAGCGACTGCAGCGAGTCGAATGAGGGGGGGGGGGGGGGTGTGCATTTGACCGCAAAATTATGTAACGTACGCACTTTAAAGTAAATGTAAACCCACCCCACCACCACCACTACGACGAAGATGAAAGCGAATCAGTGCGTTTTGGCACCGTTCTCGCTTTGCAAACGCGTTCGCTGAGACGAAACAAAACAAGGAACAAATAATCGCCAACAACGCAATAACAGTAACCTCTCGGCGAAACTAAGTGAGTAAGTAAAAAAAATAAGAACGGAACGCGCTCGCCCCGGGTATCTTCCGAGGCGCGGTAGCAGAGTTCGCGACAATGCATTGCTGTTTGTCGGCGAGTCACGAGAGTCGAGGCCGGCTACAGCTGCTCGTCGCTCGCTGCGAACTCGCGCGGTGGAGGAGGCAGCGCTGCAGGAGACGGCGCCTCGCACCGCGACGCGGGTTCGGCGCCAGCGCCGTTTACCTGCTCGCATTTTTGTTCCCCTTCTAGAAACTTTTCCACCGCCGATCGCGCACGCTGTGTTTGGGGGCGATCGTTAACGCGCGCCGCGCGTACGCAGACACACAAAACGCACGCGTGCAGGGGGCGCGCGCATGCACCACACACACACACAAAAATGCATGAACACACACACACATGCATACATATTAAAAACAAAAGTCATTCCGTATAGCCTTGACAAGTGCCTTTGTTAGCGAGCACGTTATGAAGGCAGGCACGGCGCACGGGTTTTGGGCGAAGGGTGGCCAGCGCCACGCGCGACCGCCTTTGTCTCCCTCGTGACGATGTTTTTATACATAAACACAGGGACGCGAACAGGCGCGCACGCGCGAGCGTTGCACCGCGGAATCCGTCTTCGCCAAAAGAAAATAAAGAAAATAAAGAATAACCGGTGGCGTTTTAACCACGGCCAGCACCGAGAGGGTGGACGCAGCGCAGGGCAAGGAGGGGGTTGGGGGGCTCCGGCTGGCGGCTCGGAGCCGCGGGACACGCGAGGGGGTCGCGGGGCTTGCCGGCCGGCTCCGTCGGGTGCTGACAGCGGAATTCGCGCTATTTATTGCCGAAGCCTTTAATTTTACAACGCCTGTTTACTGCGGCAATAAAAAAAAACCCCTGCCCGGGAAGTAGAAAGACTCACTCGAGGAAATGTTAACACCGATTGCGTTGGAATTGTGACCGTCTTCGGCGCGGCTTTGCGTGCGCGTGGAATTACTGCGCGGTTCAACTCACGGACGAGGTTGCCGGGGTCGTAACAACCCCCCCGCCGCCGCTGCCGCCGTGGCCCCTAGCCACCCCCTAATTCAAACTCTCGTTTGTTTCAACGAACATGTGTCCGTGCAGAGAGAGAGAGAGAGGGAGACAGAGAGAGAGAGCCTGTCCGTCTCATTATGTGATACTGCTGATGATGCTGCTGCTGTTGTTGATGATGCTGCTGCTGCTGATAGTGAAAGTCTGAGATTAAACACACACACACAGAGACACAAAAAAGCCCTCGCCGCATCTCGCTCCTCCGTGCGGCGGGTGTCGCGGGGTCGCTGTTTGGGCGCCGCAAATGTGGGGGGTAAATTATCCCGCCGGAGGGCTCGGTGGTGGTGGGGGGTTGCGGGGGTGGTGGTGGGGGGGTCCGTCTTATGCGGCAGACTTATGGGCAGTTGTATGCGAGATAAAAAAAAAAACCCAATGCGCGCCTCCCCATACAAATCCAATACTAATACCATCAAAATGTGAGCGCATTTACCATAAATCGGTTCACATACAAACCGAAATAGCTATTGATCCACGTGTACCGCCCGCACAATGCGCCATGCGGATTGCAGCAGAAGAGGGGGGGGGGGGTCACGGGGGGGGGGGGTCACGGGGAGAGAGGACGCTGTGGGGACACCGCGAACCAATTAACACGAATTATTAAGCGCCGAATAACGACACGAATTCATTATCAGCTATCGCCGCGTAAAGAACTCGCGCGTGCGTCGCTTGCAGGCGACGGCCGCAAACTTTTAAAATAGGGAAACATTTCCTGAGAGTATATTTATCGTGGACTTTTCATTCGTTTTAATAGTTTAGGTTTTTTTTTGCAAACTGAAATTATAATATCTAAATGAACCTGTCCGCGCGCGCGTGCGCGCGTGTGTTTTAATAACGTGTGCGTATATATATGTGTGTACGTTGCGCGAGAGTTGGTAACGCGTCGTTCTGGCGACTTCACGTAGCCGCGAGACCGTCGACTGCCACCCCCCACTCCCCCAGGTGTCGTGCGTCCGTGTCTCGCGGAACCCCCCTAAGCTTCGCCTGAGCCCCCCGCGGCGATATCCCCTCGACGTAGTCAACCGAGCGAGCCCGGTTCGCGCCTCGTCAAAGGCGACCCCCCCCCCCTCTCTCTCTCGTACCCCGGCGAAACTCGCTCGCAAATCGATGCCCACTGCCCTGCCCTGACCGACCTCGCCTCTCTGTACCTCCTTTAACGAGGCGCGATGACACGCGAGACACTCCGCATCGCGACACGCACGGGCATCACACGCCCGACCTATTCTTTATGTGTCGATGGATATGTGTGTATGTGTGCATGTTGTCTTTGTTTTTTTTGTACACGCAGGTTTTGTCTTGGTATGTGTGTTTGCGCACACACACATACAGATACAGACATACACACGTGCATAGACGCATACAGAAGGCGCAGCAAACGCTGATAATTATGAGTCGCGCGTGAGTCCCTGCTACGCACGTCGATTCACCACTGCGTGCAATATATAGAGAGAGATAAACGCGCGTACCGCACGGAGTCGGGTGAGACGAGAGAGGGGATTGTCACGGGGTGACCGTGCGTCCTCGGGTTCCCGCGGTGGATGAAACTTACCCCCCCTCCCGCCCCCACCCCCTCGTGAGCCCCCCCCGCCCCCCCCTCTGCTTGACCGGGGACCAGGGCGAGCGGGGCCCGCACGAGGGGAGGGAGGGGGTGTGGAATTTCGGGGACCACTGAATCCCCGGGGATCGGGATATCCCTCGCAACTGCGGATATCGCCGCTACCCCCCCCCCCCCACTGCTTCCACCCCACCCACTTCCTCACAGAGCGAGCGGGATCGACGCGGACGCTTTGTCGCGCGGTTTGCGCACGGTCGCTGTCGGTTGCTGTTCGCCTGACTTTGTGTACACCTCGCCAATTGTGTGCAACAAGAAGAAACAAAACCGACGGGAGGGGCGGAGGGGGGCGAGGTTACAAATCTCGGGACCGAAACAACTCGACGAGTGAGAAACGGCGCGCACCGCGCGTGCTCGTTCGCGCTACGTATCGAGCGCTCGCGCGCTGTAATTAAAGCGCCGTTAAGTGGCCTCGCGCACCTTGACTTGGCCCAGGCACCCAGCTGATACCCACCCTTCGCTGGAGCGCCTTCATCACCATCCTTGCCATATACATTTTCTGCGCGTTCGTGTCGCCGGGCAAAGCGTGCGGGGTGTTGGGTGGGGGAGGAGGAAGGGGCGGTGGGGGTGGAGAGGTGTCGACGAAAAATACCGAAATCACGCTTTCGGTTTCAGTCGATTGTTGTCGGTTATATATATATTTTTTATGCGTTTAGCGGCGGCGGTAACAATCAAACAAAAAATTCCCCCGGCAAAAAAAAAACAACCCCACCACCACCACAAAACAGAAGAAGGGGAAGAAGAAGAAGAAAAATAAATCAAACGATTAAAAAAAACGGATGAGAGAGAGAGAGAAGCGCGCAGGGCTTGAAAAGAGGGAATCGGCTGCATCACGAGCAGCAGTTGCATCAGCAGCAGCATCAGCAGCAGAAGAAGAGGCGGGTTTGCCATCCGCACTCAGCCGGCGCTGCCGCGCTCTGTGCTGTCTGGTCGTGCCATGTAAAAAAAAAAATTCCTCTCCCACCCTCGTCACCTCCCCTCTCATTGGCTCGCCGCCGGTCAGCTGACCGCTCCCCGCTCTCGATTTTCTGGCGCAGGGCCATGCCGAGACACTTCATTTTGCGAAGAAGTGGAAAAAAAACTATAACTTAAACCCCAGACTTGTGGGGAAAGCTTGCAAATATTTAAGCACCCGCCCGCCAGCCCGCGGGAGCCGAGCGACATGAGCTCCTATTTCGTGAACTCGGCCTTTTCCGAAAGTTTAGCGGGGTCCGCCTCACAAGAGCTCTACCCCGAGCAAGCGTCCGCCCTCTACCCGCTCGGATACGAGCATCTGCGGCACTTCCCAGCCCCGTACGGCCCGGCGACGCTTCCCAACAGGACCTACCCCGCGTCCCATCACGCCTACTACCCGTCCCAAGCCAACTGCTCGTTCGGCGCGAGCCGGGCAGCCTACGACTACAGCTACGCCGGCTACTACCGTGACAAGGAGGCCGTGGGAGGGCTTGCGGCGCTCGCCGGAGAGACCTCGCTGCCACTCGCGCTGCCCGGCCACGAGGGTAAAGAGGAGGCGGCCACGCAGGCCCGCGTCGGTGGTGCGCACTCGCTCTCGTCGCCGTCGCCCTACGAGCACAAGCAGACGGTGCCCATCTACCCGTGGATGCAGCGCATGAACTCGCACAATGGTACGTGACGATGATTCTCGCTCGCCGTCGCTCTCGCTCGACTCTTGCTCGCTCGCCCGCTCGCCCCCTTTGCATGCACGAGAGTGCACGCCGCACGGCTGTAGCGTAGCCACCTTTCTGTGTTCTTGCCTGCGCAGAGTTCACCACCACCACCCACCCACCCCTCCGGTAGCCGGTGCGCGCGTTGCCGTCGCTTTAAAAGCCGCAGGTCGCGAATGTAAAAATGAGTTGCTCATTGTGAATTGCGTTTCTCGCGGGCGGATTTAGCGGCGATGGATACGCTGAATTGGCGGCGGTGGAGGTGTGGGGGCAGAATGTTATGGGGGGGGGGGGGCGAACTCGCAGGTACAGCGACTTGAGTTTTTTTGTGTGCAAAGCGCGTAGCGGTGACCGGCCCAGATGAGTGGTTTGTGCCGCTAGCTACGCAGAGTGGGATGGCTTGCACGCTCCAGTTTGCTTGCTCGATGGCTAGCAAAATAAACGCTCCGTTGCATAATAACAAGAGCAGTTACGGGAGGCCGGTGCTTGCTGCCGTTCGGTTTAAAAATAGCAGCACAGTAGCGGCAGCCTCACCCAAAACGCGACCGCGTGATACCCTATCTGACAATCCTATCTTGTAAATTACACGTTCGCTGTATGTGTGCGCGTTTAAGTGCCATTCTTGATGTGTAGGTGGGTGTCGGCTGAGGCGGTACGGGGTGGTGGCGCTGGTGTTTGCCGATTATCTACAGTGTGTAATCTGACGATGCCAGCGGTTGGTGTCGATCTGGCCTGTCTCTTGTAACGCGCTTGTCTGTGCTGGCTGTTGGGCCGTGAAGGGCTGGGGCTTGGCACAGACCGGCGACGCGGCCGCCAGACCTACTCGCGCTACCAGACGCTGGAGCTGGAGAAGGAGTTCCACTTCAACCGCTACCTCACCCGCCGGCGCCGCATCGAGATCGCGCACGCGCTCTGCCTCACCGAGCGCCAGATCAAGATCTGGTTCCAGAATCGGCGCATGAAGTGGAAGAAGGAGCACAATATCCCGAGCCTCTCGAAGGAGGAGTGCGAGGCGGCTGCGGCGGTGGCGGCGGCCGCGTCGGAGGGCACGCCGAGTGCGTGACTTGCACCGGGCCGGGACTTCAGGACTTTGCATTTTTACAACGATACAAACAAAAATATATGAAAGAAAAAAAATCACACGCACACGCGCACACGCGCACAAAACAACAAATCTTCCGCGCAGTTAAGTGTGTCATTAAAACAAACGTAAACTATGTTGTGCACTATAATTACAACCATGGTAAAATATTTTCTTGTTTGATATTATTATTATAATTATTGTACACGTAAATATTTTTTTTTACAATTGTGTCCATTTTGCTGTCCTTATATCAATGTGTACAAAAGATGTCGCATATTTTGTTTGAAATAGTGGCCGTATGTCCATATACACGATCGCCTATGTATAATTGGAAGTAGTTAAATGGAACGTGTTCACATATTCTTGAAATCGATGTCTGTAAAAAAGAGAGCATTTGTAAATGTATTGTAAAATCGTCGTGTGATTTACGTATCTTTAGTGTTACAATGCTATCACTTAGTGGTATTAATGTATCTGAAATAAAATTATTCCATGTGAACTGCAGAAACGACTCTGACCTTTCGGCGCGTTCAAAGGCGACGTTGCTCAATATTTGAGGACGGATTAAAGCTCGTCGCGGCTCGCTAAAAACACCAAACGTTATCACAACTGATCCGCGATCAAACAACAGAAGCAAGACGAGCCTCTCTCTCCGCGCCACCCAATGACGATTTTACGTCGCCGAATGGCGTGGAACTGACGTCGCGTGGAACTCGGGTCGCGTGCAACTAAGGTGGCGTGGAACTCGGGTCGCGTGCAACTAAGGTGGCGTGGAACTAAGGTCGCGTTGATCAACTCCACCACCCCCGCCCGCGCTTCTCCTTCCTCTCCTGTACTCCGAGAGTCGCACGCGGACTCTGGCTGGCATCATTGAGACGTTGGCACCACTTTAAAAAAGCGTGACCCCATGCACGCGTATCTACCTTTACGTCTATCTGTCTATTCGACGGCAGCCCTGGATAGGTGGCACGGGCGCGCGTGTGCGTGTGCATCTCTCTGTTGTGGGGAGCGGTGGTGTAGCGGTTAGCGCGCTGCGCTACGAACCCGTCGACCCGGGTTCGATTCCCGCTCACGGCCAACACCAGTGACGATTATCTGAACCGGTCCTGGGCCTTCCCTTGGTCGATTCAGCCTCAAATGAGTACCTGATGCAATGTGCAAACATCGCCACTAGGGAGACAAAGGCGGCCGGGCGTGGTGTTGGCCACCCACCCCCTCATGTGCCGTGCCAGCCTTTATAGGTGCTCGCTAACAGCACTTGCCCCTACAGTCTGTTAAGGCTACACGGAGGATCTTTGTCTTTATACCTGCTGGGCATATTGCGACGTACGCACATAACCTGGGGAAGTCCAGAAAATTTGCCAGGACGACGGAGAGAACGGTGTAGCAACACAAAACAAGACTGTCACTATCTCCCCGAGTGTTTTCACTAACCCCCCCCCCCCCCCCCCCAAGGCAACTCATTCAATCAGAATCTCCACTCCGAACCAACAGATTATAAAAAAATAAACATGCGAACTAACGGCAAAGTTGCTTGCTTTTAAAATGTGTATCTTCAAACTATGCATTTCATCGTTCTGAAAACATATATGGAATACACGCATGTACATATATATGTATATATGTGTATATATGTATATATATATATGTTTATATATGTGTGTATGTGTGTACGTCAAAGATGGCTTGTTTTTTTGCCATTGTATGGTGGAATATTTTATAAATTCCTGTAATATCTCCTGGGAGGTGCTTTTTTATTGTTGTTGTCCCCCTCAAACAAAGATCTTGTCGTATTATCGCTGGGTTAGAAACACACAATAATCAAAAGTGTCAAATATAGACCTGTCCGGTAAATACCATCGTATTGGATCGTTGCCTTCAAATCTAACATCGCTGCCGAGTGATCGCAGAGTAAAAAAATATAATCTATTTTTTTTAATTCAACGTCAAATTTATCCGATGAGCGTCGACCGCTGCCTCAACGGCTCCGCTCTGGATTAATTTTTAATCATCGCGCCTCGAATAGGAAGCAGACAAGGCACGGTCGAGTTCTTGGAGATGGTGAATGTAATTTAGATTTTTTTTTAAAGTTTGTACTCAGCGAGTGGTGATCGCATTAATAATAATCATCATCACTACAACAATAAGAACCGTCGGTGGTAACGTGTACATTGTGTATCGTGTGAATATTGCACCGCGTGTTTCGACGCGTGTGTTGTCGTTGTTAGGTGCTCGCTAACAGCACTTGCCCCAACATTCTGTGATCTCTTGTCTTTGCCGTTGTTGTTGTTTACACGTGTATCCACATCGGTACTACTACAACAGCAACAACGGGTTGAGCTGTGGGCGGTGTGAGTCATTGCTAGGTTCTGGGTACTCGACTGAGTCGCCTGCTATTTTCTTGCACACAAGGACGCGCGAGGTGCCGACCAAATTTATCTTAAGACATTTTCTGTTATAATATATACACACGCGCGCGCCACGTGTGTGTATGTCTACGTGCGTGTGTGTACATACGAGTGTGTGCGCGTCCATAAACGTGTGCGACGCACCTATAGACACACACACGCGCTCACACACACAGACACGTGTTTGTGTGTGTGAGCTTGTCACAAAAAGAGGCGCGCTCACGTAAATATTAGTAATAATAATACGGCGGTTACATTTATTGTACGGAGCACGCGTTTAAACGCAACTAAGGGGACTCGTATATGCGACGTCCCGGCGCGCGCGGGGCTGTTAATATATATTCGTCGCGTAAATCAACAGCCACAGCAGCAACACAACACGGAGCGTGTTTTGGGGGATGCTCGTGGTGTGATAGCCCTGTCCGCTCTCTCTCTCTCGCTCGTTCTCTCTCTCTGTCCGCGCGGGGCTAACGCCACCACCACCACGACCACCATCACACCATCACCACCGCCAGGCGCCAGCCGCCTGCATTTGGCTGACATCTCGCACCCCGTGCTCCCCTTCCGCGTCCCCCCCTGCCCACCTTCCACGGATTGTTTCCGCGAGTGCGGGAAAAAAAATATCGGGAGGATTCTCATCCTCGTCGGTCGCCTTCTTCCTTTCGCCGCGCGTCAGACACAATTAAAATATTACAGGGCTTGCCGACGCCTTGTTTGGAACAACACTTTGTTTCAATCTACGCTCCTTTATGAGCCGCTCCAAGTGGCTCAAATGCACGCTTGGGAACCATTCAGATTTATGCCCCCCCCCCCAACACCTTTTTTCTCTCTCTCTCTTTCTCTTTGAGCCCGCCCGCGCGAACGCACGCGCACGCAACGAATATGACAACTTCACGCGGGGGCATTTTATCTATTTTTATCTGAGCCCGCATCATAAATTCGAACGAGCATCTGTAACATTTGGCCTCGGCGATTACGCGCGTTTAGCGCCGCCGCAACGCCGAGGCGCCTTTATCAAGAGGGGGTTTTTTTTTTCGGAAGGCAAGAAAAAAACTCGCGGCCATTGTGCGTTCGGGTGATCTATTGTCCGCATCCGGCACTTTAATGTCCACCATAAAATGTTCAATACCGCCGCGTTATCATCTCGCGCAATAATTTTAATGTTATTGTCCCTTCCCTCTACGGCGAGGGAGGGTGGCGGGCGGACGGGGCGGGCAGGAGTGGTGGTGGTGGCGGTGGGGGGGGCAACCTGAGCATGCTTTGACACCGGCGTGCGTGCCCGAGCTCCGCCAGTAGATGCCGCCACAGATCGGCGCTGGAACCGTGGCCGGGCCCCTCCCCCCCCCCCCGCGCGACGAGAGCCGAGCGCCGGGGCCTCTGTGCCGCGTGGTTCGTAGCGCCACGCCGTGGATTCACCCCCAGAGGTCACCGCTGCGAGATTTACGACTGGGCAACAAAGAGCACGTGACTCGACGCGGCACCCATATTTGGCAGAGCCCGTCCAAACTAGCAACCAGCATGGTCCTCGATATTCCCATAATTCATACACCGTTCGGGGTGCAGTGCGAAACGGGCTTCAGGAGGCACCGATAGCCACAAATCAAGCCCGAACGCAAAAAAACAACAAAAAAACAAATGAGCTCGTACTTTGTGAACTCTTTCGCGGCGCGCTATCAGAATGGCCCCGACTACCAGGTGCCCGGCTACGGGAATGCGGGCGCAGTGAGCGAGTCGTACAGGGAGTCGGCCGCGATGCACTCGCCCAGGTACGCGTACGGTTACAGTGGGGTCGATCTCAGCTTGAGACGGTCCTCCGTCGAGCACTGCAGCGGCGGCGGCGGCCCGGAGACCTCTCGCAGCTTCCCGCAAGCCAACAGCTCGCGCCTGGAGCACTCCTTGGGCGTGTCGCACGCAGCCGAGCCGCCCGCCTGCTCCGCTCTTTGCCCGTCTCCCAGCGCGCCCGGCACCAACGCCAGTAAGCGCAACGGCGCTATCAGCAGCAGCAGCGACGGGGCCAAGGCGGAGGCGGGATTGGCCAGCCCGCAGTACGCGACGAGCCAAGGCGCCGAGCAGGACGGCTCCTCGCCGGCCATGCATGCCGAAGAAGAGGGCCAGGCGGGCGGAACGGCCGGCGCTCAGACCGGTCAGCAACAGCAGCAGCAGCAACAGCAGCCGCAGCAGCAGCCGCAGCCTCCGCCGCCGCCGTCGCAAGCAAGCGGGAAGCAGTCTCAAGCGGCGCAGTCTCAGAACTCCCAGGCGCAGCAGCAGCCGCAGATCTACCCGTGGATGAGGAAACTCCACCTCAACCACGGTAACGGCGCTCACGCACGCACGGCACCACGCGCGACTCCGAGGGCTCGGGGGGAGCGGTTAAAGCGCGAGCCGAGGGGGGGAACGGCCGCGCAGCGTCCGCGGGACACTGACGGCAAACACCGCGGCGCGGGGGTGACAGGCCAATTTGAAACGCGCAAGGCGAATGAAAACGGCATAGACGGCTATAGGAAAATAGCCACGGATCGATAGGTTGTAGATTTGTTGTTTGCGTTAGGGACAGTTGACGGGCATGTTTCATGCTCGTCCGGCCGCCGATATTTTCCCTTATTGTACAATAACCCGCCCAAACCTCCCCGCTCCCACGTCGAATAAATCTCACGGATTGCGCGGTGCGTTTGCCGTTATGCGCTTCCCCCCTCTCGTAGACGGCATGAGCGGACCGGAGGGCAAGCGCTCGCGCACCGCCTACACGCGCTACCAGACGCTGGAGCTGGAGAAGGAGTTCCACTTCAACCGCTACCTCACCCGCCGGCGTCGCATCGAGATCGCGCACGCGCTCTGCCTCACCGAGCGCCAGATCAAGATCTGGTTCCAGAACCGGCGCATGAAGTGGAAGAAGGACAACAAGCTTAAGAGCCTGAGCATGGCTAACCAAGCCGGCGCCTACCACGGCTAAAGTCTCTCAAACCCCCCCTCCCACCCCGTGTGTGTTTGTTTGTGTGTGTGCCGAGCGACAGCCTCAGCAAAAAAAAAATTGCTGATAATTATTAATATGAGGGTAAACAAACGTAATCCAGTCTCGTGTCATTTACATTATCTTTC